TAATTATTTATTACATTAATAAATATTTATCTGAAGCTCATACCTGGCTTATGAAAAATTTCAATCCTGACTACCTTAAATCTAGGGTACAGATGGGATTTATGCAGTTAGGAATTTATTAATTGTAGTTTTGATTCCACTCGATTAGCATGATTAATTCCAATAACGTTAGTTAATGTGTATGTATGTATACACACACACACACACACACAGTATATATATTACATTTTGTTCTTAATTAAAATATAATTTATTACAACAGAATGCAGAAGAATGTGTTCAAGATCCATTGATTGATCAATGACATGAAAATATAATCATTAATTAACAGATAACTTGCCGTCTTATCTGGGTTTTGGTGCATTTGTACTCTTTCATCTTTGCATGCTTGTTTTTGTCCCCTGCTCAAGCCTGTTTTTCACCCCCCTGCTGGTCGGTTGGTCCTCAGTCGTGTTTAATGAAAAGAGACGGTCAGCTTTAGCTGCAGTCGATACTTCACCTATAAACAGGATAAGAGAGTGACGAACCTCTGACAGCAACACGCAGCTATCAGCCTCATAGCGAGGGCAAGAAAAGACCAAATTTCAATTTACCACCTGTGAAAATGTAATCTTCTCGTACTGGGAACTTGAAAGAGGTTGGTGGACTTTCTGCCGGGGGACAACGGCAGACACTTTGTCACAATAACACATGACTAGAAAAACAAAAAACACATGTAAGGCACTAAACTCTTTACATCAGTATGCCTTATTCATATTCAGTTTATGCTTTTAAAATATGTTAAGAAACATTTCTTAATATTATTAATGTTGAAAAAAGGTTATTTACATTTTTGCAATTATGATGCTTTTATGCTAACTATTAACGCAATGGGAGAGACTGTTCGAAATGGAGATGTAGTTATGTCCTGCTCCTGTGTTGATTTCATAATTTTTGTCCTAAGCTTGACACTAGTCCCATGTGAATTATGGTGTGGGTTTTTTTGCTTCACTCTGGTGGGGTTTATTTTTGGCTCCAGACCACTGACAGCATCCTGCCGTAAATATAAGCCGGCATTATTTGTATTCTGTACCACAGTGGGTAAGCCATCTCAGAGCAGGTCTATTTTTCAACCCCAGCCTAGAAATATCATCCTGCGCCACCCACTGCAAACAGGACAGAATACAGATGTGCCCGAATGTCCCATTTATTATTCAGATCTATCTGTAGAGCTTTATATACAGTGGGTACGGAAAGTATTCAGACCCCCTTAAATTTTTCACTCTTTGACTTTCTATGAATACGGCACACTTTCGTGTCCCATTACTTATTATTAGGAATGCATTGAAATTTCAGTCACCGAAAAGTATTGGCCAAAAATGGCATTTACGGTTTTTGGCCGAAAGAGAAAAATGGCCGTACCGCACCGCCCGGCAGTGTTCAGCAGACAGGTTGCACTCCCTCTCCCACTCCCTCTCCCTCTCTTTCACCCTCCCTCACAGCGCGATGACTATAGATATTCCACTCCACTCATGTACCGCTCAAGTCCGCTCAATTAGACTATAATAATAACTCTGACAGGAAATTTCTATGTAGTATACTTGTAACATAGCTGTACTGGGCAACACTGGTAAAATGACGCTACTCTCTCATTCACTGATCTACTCCCCGCTCTGCTCAGATGCTGTGATAATAATTGCTTTGTAAGACTATTCATTATTTGTATAATTAGTCCCAAAAAAAAAACTGTTGAATCTGATTCTGTTGCATAGAACTGAATAAAAATAATATTAATATTTAATATATTTTCTGTCCAATTGTATTGTGTTCTGTTCAAATAAAAGTGTGGTTATTTTATTGGCTTGTATTTTTTTTTATTTAGTATCATTAAAATTATTGAGTTAAATCAAAAAGTCTTACAAAATTATTTGAGATAATTCAACAATATAATAAATAATTATTATGCAGCATTTTCGGCTTTGGTTTTCGGCCAGGTGCATCCAGAATTGTCATTTTGGTGCATCCCTATTTATTATTTACATACCCCCCCCCCCTTTTTTTGTTATGAGATAGATGAGATGAAAATAGTAGTAAAAAATGTGCCTAGCATAAGTGGCAATTTTTAAATGCATCAAATGTCTGAATATCCATTAAAATGGTGATTTTGGCCTGAATCATGTCCTGACATGATGGTAGCTTTAACTACGTTCTACAAAAAAACACAGATTTGTTTTTCATTCTGATAGGTTTTTAGCTCCATTGTATGTTTTAAAAAGCTCTAACTCTAATTTGTTGATGGTTTTATGCTGTCAGGGGTATTTGTGAGCACCTGAAATGATTCGTTTTGTGTGTTTTTGGGATCTGGGTCATCGCTAGCCCCAGGGATGTCACCATCAACATCAACAATGTGTGTATTGTGCTGTGGCATTTATGTGTGTATGTGTGTTTTCCTCTTTCACAACCCATATGTACAGTGGAAATCAAAATTAGAGAACAATTTCCTAAATTTCAAAGTCACTGCTTGGTCATATTTGAAGCTATCCTAACAAGAGTAGAAGGGCAGTTTTTTAAGCATATTTCATAAATTAATCGGATTCTAAAGCATAGTATAAAAAAACTGAGATATTTGAAAAAGAAATTAGCACCTGGTGCTAATTTCCTTAATTATATGACAAACCTTATCCACATCCAAATAAGGCAAATGCACGAGAGGACAGGATAATGCGGAAACTCTCCATGGGGAATCGGTTCAACACTGCAGCTGGAATTGCTTTCCAGTTCAGCGCTGAACAGGGTATGGATCTGTCTAGGCATGTTTAAGAGAAGTCAGACTGAAAGCGCACTCTGCAGTGACCAAACCTCTCATCAGTAGAAAGAATCAGAAGGCTAGACTAACTTTTGCTGAGGAGCATGAGAGGAGAACTGGTCCAAAGTTCACTTTAGTGATGAGAGCAAGTTTAATTTATTTGAGTCTGATGAGAAACATTTTGTTTGGCATCAAACTGGGTAAAGACTGAAGCTCAAGTGTGTAAAGAAGTCCGTGAAAGGTGGATGAGGAAGTGTCATGGTTTGGGAGATGTTTTCTGCAGCAGGAGTTGGGCTTCTTATACAGCTACATGGCAGGATGAATGTAAATGTTGGTCGGAACCTCCTTCAGCAACATGCAGTTCCTTCCCTGCAAGCATCTACCAATCAGTCTGCAATTTTCATGTAAGACAATGCCCACGTCACACTGCAAAACAGGTAAAGCAGTTCCTTGAAGCAAAGAACATTGAAATAATGAATTGGCCGGCCCAGAGTCCTGATGTAAACCCAACTGAAGATCTCTGGAAAATGCTTGTCAACAAAGTTATGGCTAAGAAACCCACTACAGTTATTGAAGAGTGGACCAAGATCACACCAGTGATGTCCTGCGGCCACAGATGTGCTGACATCATTCAAAGAGAGGGCCTCTACATTTCCTACTAATTTCTGACTGCTGTAACCCTCCAAACTTTTAGTTGAAATCTTCTTTCGTGCTACAGTGGTTACTGTTCTCTAATTTTGATCACTGCGTTTTCCACAAAATAAAGGTTTTTCTTGAAATGCCTTTGTTATTTTGTCAAACATGTTAGTGGATCAGTGGTATACTTACAGTACAGCTAATATTCCTTCAAATTTTGACATTTTTGCCCACAAAATTAAATTTCCCACTAAACATCATAGGCTTTGTTTCAAAACCTAATGAGCTGCCTATGTAGACAGCATTTTAAAGAATCATAGGCTGTTCTTTATGCAAAGAGTATTCCAAATCATATCATAGCAAGCATTATTATGCAAATTTTTAAGCCATGCTTATTTCACAGAGAAGGTATTACATTGCACTGTAACAAGCGCAATGAAAAAAAAATCCAAGATGGTGTACTGAGTATAAGAAACGTCAATTATAAATATGATTCATTCATTCAATACCAAAAGTATTGACACTAAACTTTAAAAATTGACCATTTTACTCAATATTTGTATTTTATGTTTTTATTAGAGCTTAGAGTATTGTATCCCATGGCAACTTTCACAAATCACATACACCTAATGTGGAGCACTTACTTTATGGCTTGTATTAGAAACTGTGGATGAACAGTGCACCGAATAGATCACTTCTGCGCTTCTGCGTCTCATTTAGGATGCGGTCAGTTGCCTTAGTCTCAGCCTCAAATGTTACGCCCACAGACCCTTGACTGTACATCTGATATCATAAGAGACACAAAATGTTGAAGTCATCATCTGATTGATTGAATTGTAAAAGAATTTCAGGAGACATGCATGTTGCATTTTTTAATCGTTAGCATGGAAACAAAGCACCTCTATCTTCATAGCTCTGCGCCCATAGTCACAAAAATGCTAAGCAACACAGGCAACTCCCCCATCATGAGTGGACACGCCCCTTACTGGTGGTAAGGCCATGTGTTTGGTGCTCGGTCCGATCCACTTTCACAAGCATTTCTCAGACATCACTTACCGCACCTTTAACATTTTTACGTCCCTAAACATGACTCAGAACTATACTAACTGTAATTGGCTGCTTTACATGTCTGTCAGTTGGCCTCTTGAATGGACCAAAACTGCAATGGAATCCAGACCTTCTGCCGTCAATCTGAAGGTCTGGCTACACGATACTCGTTGCCTATGTTGGCAGCTCACTAGATTTTGAAACAAAGCAATAGTTTCAGAGATCAAACAGTGACAGGAACATGCAACAGTTATTATATGCTGTAAATTGAAAACTTGACCTTGCTGAAGGAGAGCGAGTAATTGTTATTGTTAGTCCTCTTTGGCTTGGTAATTTTCTCAATATCCTCTTACTCCTGTTTGTTTAGCCTGGCTTCACAGTGCCAGACAAGCAGTTTCAAATCCTCTTGCATGGCTCAAGCTTTACTCTGGCACTTGCTCTTCCTGCATCATCAGTCGTTTGGGTATATTCGTTAAATAGATTACCCCGGTGGCCCACTCTCTTTAAGGCTGGTCACATGATCTCGGTTCTGCCTTAGCTTAGCTTCAGCAGCGCGTCAGTCCGCTGATCAGCTCTGGAAGCGCACCATCAATGGAGCCCGTACTGCACACACCACGGTACGTACAAAAACTGCAGCTTTCATTCTCAAGTTTTCTTGGCCTTGCTGGAGACATAGTGAAAGTTGCATGACAACAACCAAATTTGTATAAGATTCTACAAACAACTAATATTGGAAAAGCCATTTCCGTAAGGAAGCAATTGAGTTTAATTAATGTGGGATTTTGATTATCAAAATAGGTTTAAGAACAGTGTTTTTCCTGAGTCTTAGCTGAATATGAATATGAATTAGCTTGCATCATTTTGATTGTAGCTTTTATCTGTGTCTCTCTCGTTCTCTGGAAATCATCCTTAAATGGGGAATTTGCCTTGAGACGTGTTCAATCTATAGCAGGAAAATAACAGCTCTTAGACTAAAAGGAAGATTTGCTGTAAGTTGGAAAGACATCCGTGGCATGCAGACAGAGTGAAGAGATTTGAAAGAATTGAGAAATCTCTCTTTGGAGAGATGTACAAGAAAGCAATTATGTCTGACCGAGACTTACCTGCTTGTTCTTCAAAAGACAGAGCTACTGTTATTTGCAGTCACTTGCACTGAACATCCAGTGTGCCAAGAATGGTTTGTTTCGTCGAATCTTTCATACTCAAATCTCCTTATTCTGTCAGATGAAGTTTAATAGGGTTTTAAGACAATTTTTAAAATGCATCTTAATGTATTTTTTTCTTCTCGCTATGGATAAGTCTTTCAAAACATCTATTTTGAAGTGCAATCAAAAAATTATTTTTGCTGCTTCCTTTCAGAACATGTTAATTCCATTGGGTTCAATCTTTTTTAAATTTGTAAAATGGAAGTTTGCTTAAACCATTTATTTTGGGACTACATGAAGAATTTTTGTTGCAAACTGAAACTGGGCAGTGTAGTTCTCAGCATGCTTTGCATGGGACTTGATTGGGAGAGTAAAGTTTAAAGTTACACTACCATTCAAAAGTTTGGGGTTGGTAAGATTTTTCATTAATCTCTTATGCACACCCAGTCTTCATTTATTTAATAAAAATGCAGTAAAAACAGCAATATTGTGAAGTATGATTACAATTTTAAAATGCATCTTTTCTATTTTTATATATTTTAAAATGTAATTTATTCCTGAAATGGCAACGCTGAATTTTCAGCATCATAACTCTAATCTTCAGTGTCACATGATCCTTCAGAAATCATGCTAATATGCTGATTT